TACTAAGGGTGCTTAGTAATCTGCTTCGTAGGGTATATATCTAGTCTTCATAACAGCTGTAACGTAGGTGTAATTGTTCTTACAGTTGGCAAGACTGACGTTCAGAGAGGCTAATAAGTTGGCTGAGGTCTCACAGCCGATAAGGTCAGAGCCTGGATTCGAATGGAGCTTGTAAGGCCACAAAGCTCTCACTTCCTTGGCCCAGCTGCTCCCTCACCCATGCACAGGGACACTTGGTTTTGCAGCTTTATAAACTGTCCCTTTCAGCCGCCTTGGCTTAGCCTTGTCTGCACGTGTCTGCTGTCAACCCCACAAGACTGTGAGCTACTTGAGACCAAGGACTGGCCCCCGGTGGCCAACGGTGTGACCGGGGCGGGGGAGGGGGGTAGGCATATTTCATTGGATTGATTGGAACTGAATTTAACTAAACAGGGCTCTGACCCAGGGACCTATGAAAGGGACAGTCCCAGGCACAGCTGGCTTGCTGGAGAAAGCGCTTTTACCACTTCTCCCCTCCCCTTCCTTCCAGAAATCCCGTTTGGCAGACTCTATTTGGTTTCCTGTTGAATTGAAGTAACCTCTCTGAGAGCAACCTCTGAACAGATCTATAGCGCTCCTCCCACACCCATCCACTCTTTGTTCCCAGCAAATCCCTTGAATATTTAGGGACTGGAATTCCTTTTCCAGCTACTTAGGCCCACTGTGAACTGCAGCTCCTCCTCTGAGCTCCTGTCGTGCGTGCTGCCAACTGTTAGCTGTAGTGGTGGATCAAACGGAGCTAGTCTCTTCCCCCCCGGTGATAACATTCAATGATGTCAAAAGCAGAGAAGTTTGGAAGATTAATACTGTCTCAGTGTGCAGAAGAGAAAACTGGGGCCCAGGGAGAGAAGTGGCTGGAATCAAATGGAGTTATGAGGCAAGACGCCTCTCTCCTTCTCTGTGGGACATTTTCCATTTGAGACCCAAGACTAGCAGTTATTGGTGAAAACAGCTCTTGGCTTCCCCCCTGCAGCCCTACATTCCTCTGGACTTGGCGCCAGTCCGGGGGCTGAGCCTGGTCACAGACAGTGCCTGCCCTCTCCATCCGCTTGGCTTAGCCCCTCGGTTCCTAGGCAGAGCTGTCACGCCAACAAATCAGCTCCTATGGCTAGAAAGCCTCAGACTCACAAGGACCCTGAAGCTCAGTTTAGCTCAACCCACACACCTCTAAAAGGTACATGCCTCTCAATTCATCATCTGGATGAGGATCCTGAACCTCAGAGAGGTTAACTGGCTTGTCCAAGGTCATCCAGCTGGTCAATGGGATTAGAGCCTGAGTGGACCCGCCCTTCACAGCTTCCCCCGTGTCTCTCTACCTTACCCTGCACGTGATGCCATCCAGGGATGCCTCCATTAGCTGGCTCCTCGGGAATTAGGCTGTTCTGGAAAAAGGCTTCCTTCTGAGCCTCAGCCGGAGCAGGATTCCTTGGGACGTCGATAACCAGGGATGACACACATGGCCTCTGGCCCCCCCCCCTGCCCCACACCAGCCGGGCTGACCCTCCTGCGGCTTCTCTGCCCAGTGTGCCTGAACCCACACACGGGGTCATTTTTCTGTCTCATCCTTCCCCACATTCCCAGCCTGTCTTTTCAAATGTGGTTCACATCCCCTCTTCTAATAACACTGTGCCTCCTGACCCTCCCACCCCGTCACCCCCAAGACTGGATTCAGGGCCCCCAGCTCTGTGCTCCTGTAGGTTCTCTGCCATGTGCGCTCAGGAGCAGGCTATGGGGCAAGCTCAGCGCCCCTCCCATTGCCTCATTGTCCCACGGCCTGGCTCATAAGAGGTGTGAGTGGAATGAATGAGACTCAACTTTCGGTTTCAAAGATTTTCTCAAAGGCCAGATTTTCTCCCCTTCCTAATCAACACTTACACACTGAATGACATGGGTTCACGTGTGTATGTACTTGTCTGGCCATAGACAAGATCCTTTGCCCCCAAATGCCTCCACGCTGGCCTGCCTTTCTGCTCCTTCAAGTTTCGTCCTCTTGACCCTGAAAGCATCTCAGGCTTCCTGCTCAAGTGTAAACAAGGGTAGCCTATCAACACGGAAAAAGATGCCTGGTATTTCTAAGAATCAAAGACATGCAAATCCAGACAACAGGGAGATGGCATTTTTGATCTGATGGGCAGAAACCTGTTTTCGAAGGTATAGTTTTAGAGACATGGGTAAAGAAACACTCTCAGACTCTGCTGGTAAAAACTGGGACAGCTTTTTTTTTTTAATTAAATTATTTTTTTTATTTTTGGCTGCGTTGGGTCTTCATTGCTGCGTGCAGGCTTTCTCTAGTTGCAGTGAGCAGGCTTCTCATTGCGCGGTGGTTTCTCTTGTTGCAGAGCACAGGCTCTAGGCGCTCTAGCTGCATGGGCTCAGTAGTTGTGCGCACGGGCTTAGTTGCTCCGTGGCATGTGGGATCTTCCCGGACCAGGGCTCGAACCCGTGTCCCCTGCATTGGCAAGGGGATTCTTAACCACTGCGCCACCAGAGAAGTCCCTGGGACAGCTTTTGAGGACAATTTTATAGTAACTAAAGAAGCGAAACACTTCAAGGCATGTGTCCTACAGGAATACTCACAGCCATGCACAAACTTGTATGACAGGCCTGATCATCATAGAATGAATTGTAACAATGAAAAAAAATGGGCAGAGCCCAGGTGTCCATTAACAGAAGTTGATTAAATCCATCACGGCATGGCCACATAACAGCTGTCCCTCTGGCCACTTAAAAAGATAAGGTAGAGCCATGTGTAGTGGTGTGGAAAAATGCCCACTAGCACTAGTTACATGAGAAAAGCAAGTTGCAGAAGCACATGTATCATAGCATACCTTTGGGTAAAAAAGAAAGAAATGCGGAGGATGGGGGAGGTATTGTATGTATGATGTGTGTGTGTGTGTGTGTGTGTGTAACACAAGCATTAGTCTCCACTCTTCAAGGGTCACCTTCCTCTGGAACATTTGGGGACAAGAAGAATGAGTGTCTTATTGGTGACTACTGAGTCATCTACCTTGGTCTGCACTCCACCCTCCCTGCCATTTCCAGACGAGACCTCATCTCAGAAGACCCTTGCACAGGGCTGTCGGGGAAAGACCGTAGGGCATGCTGGGCCCCCTTTCCATCACCTCCCTCCCCCAGGCTCCTGCCACCATGCAGGCTTATGTGAGTGTTGGGCTTTCCTGGAGAGCTGGAGCAACCACAGGAGATGATTCAATGACGATAGGAAAACCTCAAACTGTCCCCTAATTATAAACTTTTTCTCAAGTATGTTTTTGAAACTGAGAATGGTACTCCTAAGGGTGACCCCTAATCCTTGACTGGACCTGGAGCCTCCCATGGTCTACATGTGCCGAGCTGGGTCTTCGGGGGAACATAACATGTGGGAAATACTCATTTCTACAGTCTGAGGGTAAAGCACCAAGAAGGGAAACCCACAAGGGAATTCCCTTAGAGGTATCCCCGGTTCCCAGCCTTGCTGCCCTGTCTTCGGGACTGCCTTTGGCTTTCTTTAGCATGTTTTTCCTCTTTATTCATAGCCTTCAGAATTATCGTCAAGTGGCTAATAGTCCATATTGCTGTGACATATTAAATTGTTGCCCTAATGTTGGTCACTTGGAGTATTTCTGAATTTTCTGTATTGCAATGAACATCTTCATGCGTGGAGATTTGGGCTTATTTTGAATGTTAAGAGTGAAATTACTAGATCAAGGAATATAATACAAATGTCTCTATGGTTCCTACTAAAGATTGCCGAATTGCTTCCAAAACAGAGTTTCTGTGATTTGTAATACCACCAACACCAACTGAATCTATAAGTTCCCGTATAATCTTGTCCATACTGGTTTTATTTTTTTCTTTCAGTTGGCTATTTTAGAAGATTATAAATGGTATCTCAAAGCTGTCTTCCCTGTTTTTCTCCTTACTGGCAAGGGTGGAGTTCAGATTTTCTAAACGTTTGTGTTAAAGGTGTCCTAAGCTATAGTCACATGTGCTTTTTCTTCTCCACCCAGTTAGATCATAATAAATAGCATTAATGATGATGATAACAATTATAACAAGAACTATAATTCCATAGGTCTTTAGAGCACTTTATAGTTTACAAACTCTTACAACCACTATCTTATTTTATTCTGCCAGTAGACCAGGCAAGGCAAAGACTCCCCCCCGCCCCGCTCCATTTATAGATGAAACAGTTGAAACTTGGAGGGTGTGCTTGGGTTGAGAAACAGAAGCCTACCAGCGTTGATGTAAATAATCAGGGGGTTATTCAAAGATTGCAGAGAAATTGCTGTTTCTCTCTATCCAGGGCTGCGTGATTGCTTCTCTCTGCTTCTCTCCATGAGTTGCACCCTCCTCTCTCTTCTTTATCAGCACCCATAAGACTGATAATAGCTGCATCCAGGCTCTGCATCCTTCCGGCTCAGGCTCCAGCATCTCATCGGTCTCTGCCCCTCGGTTCATCATCTTTCAGGAGAGACTCTGGGCCTCCCAGTCTCCCAGATGGGTTTCCCTCTGCTCAGGTGTCCATCCCGGGTGGGGAACAGAGTGAGGGACAGGCCATGTGGTACAAACAGAGGCGCTGGGGCTGAAGGCACTATTACAAGGCTGTGGAAGGGAAGCAGAGATAGGCTTTGAATACAGCACTTGCTAAAAGCTGCTCCATGTGTGATCCTCTGGGCCTGGCTAGACAATAACAATCACGATATGCCAGTAAGCACAGTCGCCAAGGTCTGCAGAGACTAATTGGAGAAAACCCTCCCAAAGGCACAGAGGAGATGGTCTCTTTTCTCTCTAGCCACACCCTGCAACCTCCTCGCCCAGGCCTCAGTCGGGCTCTGCCCACCACCCTGGCCAGGCGATACCTTACTAGGCAGATCTCCGAAAGCCTGGTGTCTGAGGAAGAGGGCAGCAGGGGCTTCTCCTGGCCCTGCCCAGCCAGCCGAGGCCCTCCTTCCCCTCTGCAGGTGCGGATCTGGGAGATCCCCGAGGGCGGGCTGAAGCGGAACATGACGGAGGCTCTTCTGGAGCTGCATGGGCACAGCCGGCGCGTGGGGCTGGTCGAGTGGCACCCTACCACCAACAACATCCTGTTCAGTGCTGGCTACGACTACAAGGTGGGCAGCCGGTGGGCACTGTGGCCAGAGCCGACTCGGCGGGGAAGTGGAGGGAGAGAGAAAGGCACTTTGGGGGGCCTGTAGGGAGCACTGTTACTTTCCCGAGCCTGTTAACCAGTATTGTCACATCCATTCATTCGCTCATTCAACAACACAGCTGAGCATCTTCTGTGCGCCCGTCATTCCTGGGGTTCACAGAGGCTGGAGGCATCTTTACTGCCTTCTCCGGCACTGATACATTGGAGAAGAATGCCCACTCCGTGCCCACGCTCTCTGCCTGGCCACTTCTTAACCAAGAAGTGGCTGCTGCCCTCCTAGTAGGAAAAAGAAGCATCCAAAGCTGCTGGTGGGGAGAATGGAGCCCCAGCCCCTACCCCCAGGCGTGCCCTCAAAAGAGGTGTGCCAGCCAGTGGAACCTGGCCAGGAACACTCACCCTTCTTGCTAGAAGCAGAAACTGAGCCCAGGCTGGGGCTGGGATCTGCCCAAGGATAGTTGTGGATTTGTGTGACAGGGACACATCAGCCTTTGATATAGAACCCACCGACACCATCCCGCATCCCAGCACATCCAACCCCGCATGGGGCGTCTCTCCCAGGGCCATCGGGTGCAGACTGGGGACAGCCACCCCGTGCCAGCAGCAGCAGGGCTGAGCCCGCCTCCTGTGTATCCGCCCTCCCAGGTCCTCATCTGGAACCTGGACGTGGGCGAACCGGTGAAGATGATAGACTGCCACTCGGACGTGATCCTCTGCATGTCCTTCAACACTGACGGCAGCCTGCTTACCACCACGTGCAAGGACAAGAAACTGCGTGTGATCGAGCCCCGCTCCGGCCGCGTTCTGCAGGTGAAGCCCCGCGTCTTTCTCGAGGGGAAGGAAAGGTATTGGGACCCAGGGCTCTGCTTTCAGCCGGCCCTGGAGGGAAAGGCTGTGCCAGCTCCCCTCTCCCGAGCACCTGGCCTGCACCTCTGGGGACCACCCCATCTGTTCTGGGCCCTTTTCCGCTCATAGGAGCCCTGCCTTGTTCTGGAAGCGGAGGGACCTTAGTAGCCTTCCCACAGACTCCACCCCTCTCCCCAGATGGGATTCTTCTGCCTGCTCTGGGAGCCAAACTGGTAACCCCCTTCAGCGCATGAATCCCTGGGTGTTGACCATCGTAGGCACAGGAGGAGGGGACTTTGGACTCACTGCCCAGCCACCTGCATGGGACGAGCCTGGAGAAAGTGGCTCGGGGTGTCAGTCCCAGGGACAGCTCCAAGAGGGGAGGTGGATGGTGAACTTAGCTCCGGTTTTGGTCTTTGACTCTGGGTCTTAACTCTGAGGAAGGGATTAGATGTCATTTGGGAGTAAGAAATTTACATTTCTTGAGCACCTACTGCGTGCCAGTCATGGAGCTAGATGGGATGGAAAATTTTGATGAAATCTGAGGTTTACCCCCTAACACAAGAAAGATTGGTGCGTGACCTGGTTGTGTTTATCTTGGAAAAAGCCAATATTGCAGGACCAGAATGTCTTCTACTACTACTACTACAAACAATAATCACCATAGTTATTAGTGTCTTTAGTATTAGCCACCATTTACTCAGAGCTCATTGTGTGGCAGGCACTGTGCCAGGGGCTCCGCATCGTCCCTTCATTTAATCCTCTGAGGTGGGTACTGTTACTCTTCCCTTTTCCCACATGGCAACGCTGCCCCTTGGAGAGGGGCTGACCTGATTCTCACAGTTACAGGGGGAGCTAGAATTCAAACCCGGACAGTTGGACCCCAGAGCCCATGCCAAGCAGAAAAGATGTAAAAGAGCAGAGACCCCAACCTCCTTCTCACAGATGTGGACACGTGCCCAGAGAGGGTGAGGGACTCCTCCAGGGTTACACTTTTTATGCAGAACTTGGAACTAAAATCCAGAGCGAGTGACGCCAGCCCGGGTCTCTGCACTGCTCCACCAGCCTCTGGTTCCTGCCTCACGCTGACTCATCCTGGCAAAGGGCCACCATGTGTTAGGAGGGAAAGGAGGTGTCATGAGTCCAGAGGCAGGAGAGAAGGCAGAGGATGGCCCAGTTAGAAGGATCCCCCGGTGAAGTGAGTCGCCCCGCAGTGAACCAGCATGAGTCCCCGGCCTCCTGAGCCTCGAGCTCTCCATCCTCAGAGAGTCCTTGCAGTAGGTATTGTGACAGTTCAGAGATGCCTTGGTGAGAGCACCTGGCACCCAGCCCAGCTCAGGCCCTGCCTGGGACTTGGTCCAGTTAGTTCCCTCCTTCCCCATCCCCCATCCGCTCTGGGACCTGGCAGCGAGGCCTGGTTTCTTGGTCCCCGGTCTCCATTGCCCCACAGCACCTGTAGTCATTTCCTGTGGCTGCTGTGACAAACTACCACAAGCGATGTGCCTTACAACAACAGAAATTGATCCTCTCACAGTTCTGGAGGCCGGAAGTCTGGCTCCCTCCGGCGGCTCTAGGGGAGAAGCCTTTCTGGTCTCTTCCAGCTTCTGGTAGCTTCCTTGGCTTGTGGCCTCACCTCTCCAATCTCTGCCTCCGTGGTCACACTGCCTTCTCCTTTCTGAGTCTGTGGAATCTCCCTTTACCTCTCTCTTCTAAATAAGGACACTTGTGATGGCATTTAGGGCCCCCGTGGATGACCCAGAGGTTCCGGGGATTAAGACATGGACGTATGTTTGGGGGCCACCAGGCAGCCCAGTCCAGCACCCTATTGTCTGGGGCCTGGCTCACCAGCTCTCTGTCCCTGCCAGGAGGCGAACTGCAAAAACCACAGAGTGAACCGGGTGGTCTTCCTGGGAAACATGAAGCGGCTTCTCACAACGGGGGTCTCCAGGTGGAACACGAGACAGATCGCCCTCTGGGACCAGGTCAGCCGCAGGGAGGCCGGAGCGGGTGGGGCAACATCAAAGCGTTGTTACTCCAGGGGCTTTGCTGGGATTGGGGAAGGCGAGGTGCCATCCTGCCTGGATACAGGCTGATACTGGCCCCCGGCCCGCAGGAGGACCTGTCCATGCCCCTGATCGAGGAGGAAATCGATGGGCTCTCCGGCCTCCTGTTCCCCTTCTACGACGCTGACACACACATGCTCTACCTGGCTGGAAAGGTAGGAGAAGATGGGGGAGGGACAGGGACAGGCTGTGGGAGACCCCTGCCCCCATTGGGCCCCCGCTCCTGCCCTACCTCCCAAGAAGAGCCTAGCCTCTCTGCCCTTCCCCTGACCCAACATGGGTCAAAACCTACCCTCAAGTCGTACACTCATTCTGTTGAGGTGTCAGTGACTGAGAATTCCTTCAGGGGTGGATTGGAGTGGGGTTTTACTTGGGAATAAGGATCAGAGCCTGACGTCAATCATCCCTAATGATGGGATTGGAGGCACCTGCCAGGAGATCTTGTTAGAAAGTCTGTCTGTAGGCCCGTGACCCTGCACGCACGCGCACAGCACCCGACCTCCACCCCACTGCCCCCAGCAAGTCCCCTACTGGGGGCGTAGAGGCCAGGCCTCCCGGGTCTTTTGACCACCTCGGAGGCATGGCAGAGGCTCTTTTCAGCAGCCCGCTGGACCAGGACCTGCTGAGCCCGCCCCTTCCTCTCTTCCTTCCTCACCTCCCTCCCCACACCCGGCCCCTAGGGAGATGGAAACATCAGATACTACGAGATCAGCACCGAGAAGCCCTACCTGAGTTACCTCATGGAGTTCCGCTCCCCAGCCCCGCAGAAAGGCCTCGGTAAGGGGGTCCGGGGGCTCTTGCGGTTGTTAGGCTGTAGAAGGAGACACTGGAATTTGGCTTTCGGGCCACCCTGCCCCCAAAATGAAAAGTCAGACTCAGAAGGCCACGGCTCATGGGCAGGTCAGAATGGAACCTCTGGGTGCTGCCCTGTGAAAGTCAGCCCGCCCTTCTTCAGCCAGCCTGAAGACCAGCTCCGTCACCCCATGGGGTTTGGTGTGCTCCGTCATCTCTGGCCATCAGCAGCCTGCAGGAGTGTGCGCGGTACCTTCATTCCCATTTGCAGATGGGGAGGCCGAAGCCCATTGTTGTTCTGACATGGTGGGAGGAGGTTCAGTAACTAAAGGTCAGAACGGGGTCCAGGAGCATGTCCCTTCCTGAAGCCTCTGGGAAGTCAGGACCCTCAGTCCCCCAAAGCAGCTCTGTCCTTGCCTGAGAAGACAGGAGGAATTCCAGGGTGTCCCCCTCACAGCATCCCCAGGTTCTCAGGCAAATCCCATAGAGGGCTCCAGGATTGGCGAGTGTAGTGAGTCCGTCCTTCACGCCTTACACTCTCCCACCGCTAAAGCCTTACAATGAAGTCTTCATGCCCAGTGACTCACACTGGCAGTACATCCGATTCAGCAGTCCCCCATTTGGGGTCCAAATCACCCAGAGGAAGGTATCTCTTCAGGGATCTGTTCCCTCCTCTCCTTAGAATTTGGGTCTGGTTTTGTCCCTCTGAGGATCTGGGATTATGGACACGGCCTGAGGGCCAGCTTCAGAGACATCAGGGCTGGAGGGGCCCAAGGACCCCTCTCAGGGACCAGCAGCAAAATGGAGGCCCAGAGATATGCCTGAGGTCCGAATGACCATTCCACTGACTTCACCCTTCCCCAGGGCTCTGTCATCCCCACCTCCCTCGCTGTCACCCCATCATCAAATAGTATAAAAAGCAGCCTGGACTTTGGAATCCAAGCTAGGTTTATATTCTGGTTAGGGACTGTGTCCCTAACGCCTCTGTGTCCCAGTTTCCTCGTCTGTAAAATGGGGATAATTAAACCTACCTTGAAGGGCTGTTGTAAAGCTTAGAGATCATGTATACAAAACACCTGGCAGAGTACTTGGCTCCTGTTCCTTCCTGTAGTCATTCAACAAACATGTACTGGGTACCAGCTGTGTGCCAGACCCTGGACTGTGCCAGACCCTGGACTAGTCCAGGGGTAAAGTGATAAATAAAACAGAACACAGCCTCACTCACATCCCACTGAGGGACAGACAGACAGTAAACAAATAAGTAAGGAAAATATTGGATGGTAGTAAGTTCTAAGAAGAGAATCAGATGGGGTAATAGAACAGAGAGTGACGGGGGCTGTTTTAGACCAGGTGGTCGGGGGAAGCCTTGCTATGGAGGTGACATTTTAAACTGAGATCCGAAAGGCAGGAAAGGGGAAGAGTAGTGCCAGCAGAAAGAACAGTTAGTGCAAAGGCCCTGAGGCCAGAAAGAGCCTGGCATGTTCTAGGAGCAGAAGGGAGGTGAGTGTGGCTAAGCATAAACATGCGGAAGATGGGTAAGTGTTAGGGGATTAAGCTGGAGAGATGTGCAGGGGCCAGCTCCCATGGGATGCATTAGACAGGGTATATTAGAGCTCTCCAGAGAAACAACCAAGTATATTTATAAAAGGGGAATTGCAAGGATTTGGTTCACATGATTATGGAGGCTGCAAAGTCTCACAATCTTCCCTCTGCAAGTTGGAGGCCCAGGAAAGCCAGTGGTATAATCCAGCTCAAGTCTGAAGGCCTGAGACCCCAGGGAGCCGATGGTGTGAATCCCAGTCTAAGGGCAGGGGATGAGATGAGATGTCCCAGCTCAAGCAGCAAGGCAGGGAAAAAAGGGCAAATTCGTCCTTCCTATGGCCTTTGTTCTGTTCAGTCCTGCGATGGGTTGGAAGATGCCCACCCACATTGGGGAGAGCCATCTACTTTACTGGGCCCACCGACATTAACCATCACCCAGGGGAAGGAGTTGGGGTTTCACCGGGAACTCGTAGAATTTTCTTTTTCTTGGGTGGATGGGTAGGTGGGAGTGGGACCGTGTGATGTGATCTGAAAGGTTAGTTTAAGATTGCTCTGGCTTCTGTAGGGAGACTGGATCTTGAAAGGGCAGGAGGGAGGCAGAGAGACCAGTTAGGAGGCCCCTGTGGACTTCTAGGCAAGAGAGAATGGTAACTAGGGGGATGGCATGGGGATGAGGAGATGAGGATGGATCCAGGAGATGTTTAGAAAGTTGGGTCAGGGCTTCCCTGGTGGCGCAGTGGTTGAGAGTCCACCTGCCGATGCAGGGGACACGGGTTCGTGCCCCGGTCCGGGAAGATCCCACATGCCACGGAGCGGCTGGGCCCATGAGCCATGGCCGCTGAGCCTGTGCTCCACAACGGGAGAGGCCACAACAGTGAGAGGCCCGCGTACCGCAAAAAAAAAAGAAAGTTGGGTCAGCAGGACATGGGGAGGAGGGAGGGGCAACTGAGGATAGCTATTTCTCCTTGTCCTCCTCACCTGTGGCCGCTGTTGAGCATTTGCCACGAGCCAGGCACTTTTCATAGGTTCCAAGTGGCTTTGTCACTCACCCCAGGCAGGTCACATAGCTCCTAGGTGGCAGAACCAGGATTCAAACCCAAGTCTGCTGGTTTCACTTGGTACCATGATGCCACTTCCCTCCAGCTCCTGGAATTCCCTTCTCTGGAAGAGCAGCCTTCTGCTCCAGCCGAGGAGAGGTAGAACCTTAACTCATATTCACATCCTGGAGAAAGAAACTAATGTTATCTGTGCTTATCACTGCCGGGCAGTTAACAAGCAGCTTCACACTGAGTCCCCCGACCACCTCGTGAGGGGCCGCTACTGGACTCCTCTAGGCCACCAGGGAAGCTGGAGCTCAGAGAGCAGTGATTTGCCCAAGGACTCCCGGCCAGAAAGAGGGGAGAGTCGGGATTCAGACCCAGGCTTCTGTCCCACCCCAAAGCTTGTGTTCCTACCCCCACACTGCACTGCTGCCCCAGCCGGCGTTCACATGATGCAGCTGTTAGGGATGTTGTATCTGGTGCCCACGCAGACATACATGCACACACGCACCCCTGTCGGTCCTATAAGACACATGACGGAACGGCAGTCTTGGGCTGCGTGTAAACCTCTGGGGTGCACGGGGAAAGCTTTCTCCCTCCTTCTTTCTCTCTGAAGACTGGGGGCACAGAGGCTTTGGGAAACCAGTTCATTTCAGAAGGTGATGGTCTCTGTGGCTTATACAGTGGCAACACTGTGTGACCTCGGGCCAAAGCCCCGTCCCCGCTGACCCTCAAGAGTCTCATCTGTAAAAAGAATGGATTAGATTCAAATAGTTCTGCAGACACTTCCAGTTCTCAAAGGCCCCAAATCTATAGTGTGCCCCTTGGTGAGGCAGGTCTGGCCCACGGGGCTTATTTGAGAAGTTACCACCCAGAGACAGAGCCTGACTCAGGAAGCCCCCAGCCCCCTCCTGTCTACTGTATGGGTCATTGCCTCCAAACCTAGTGCCCTCCACCTGTGCCTTTCCCCTGGCCAAGGTCATCAGGAAGGAGGGGCGATGAGGGGGGATTCCCGGGACCCCGTGTAGCCGTATGTATGCCTGTCCACAGGGGTTATGCCCAAGCATGGGCTGGATGTGTCTGCCTGCGAGGTGTTCCGATTCTACAAGCTGGTGACTCTCAAGGGCCTGATTGAGCCTATCTCCATGATCGTGCCCCGGAGGGTGAGTGGGGCTGGGCTGGTTCCAAAGGGCCCCTGGCATTGAAGCCTAGCTTTCTCGCCACTGACTGTAAGCCTGGCGGAGCCCAGAAGAAGGAGCCCTTTTCCTGTGGATTGGGGTGGGGGATGGAGACCGCTCCAAGGTGAGGACAGTTTGGCTGGCTACGGAAGGCAAGGTGGGAATTCCAAATGGGATACACTGTGAGTACAAAGGCCGGAGACAGGGCAGCAGGTATGCGGTTGGACGTCAGCAAAGAGGAGAATCTGACTGGAGAGCACGGGCTTTCTCAGCAGCCCCCCATCTGTCCACTCTTCTGCTTCCCCCGCTGCAGTCGGATTCCTACCAGGAAGACATTTACCCCATGACGCCGGGCACAGAGCCAGCTCTGACCCCCGATGAGTGGCTGGGAGGCATCAACCGAGGTACCGCAAGGGGTGGGCTTCCCAGAAGAGGCTAGGAGACTGCAACCTTGGCATTCGGTCTAGCCCACCCCCTTCCCCTTGCATATCCTCCTCATTGAACTTGCCCTCACACTCAGCCGACTGTCGGGCGTGGTGTTAAGTGAGAGCCACCATCACTTGACAGTCAATGGAATTGTCAGTGAGAACACGTCCCTTGCCTTTCTTAGATCCTGTGCTGATGTCTTTGAAAGAAGGCTATAAGAAGTCCCCCAAAATGGTATTCAAGGCTCCCATCAAAGAAAAGAAGAGCGTTGTGGTCAACGGAATAGATTTATTAGAAAATGTCCCACCCAGGACAGAGAATGAGGTAAGGAATGTAAGTTATTGCTGCCACACATCCTGGCAGAGCGAGACCTCTGCATTTCAATTATGGGCTTCAGGCCTTTAGGCTAGCTCCGTTCTGGGGCATTTTTCTTTCTCTGACAAATACCATAAGTAGCCTGCTGTTGGCTTCCGTTGCCTCTGACCCCAATAACTAGAGGCTGGGCTACGGTAGGGATACTGATGCCCCTCAAACCCGCGAACGCAGAGTTACGTGTCCCCTCGTGAATCCATTTCAGAATGTTGCTGTCATCTGGAGTTATAAATTCCTGACTCATGGGGAAAGCCCGCCTCGTGATTACAGCACTGCTTTCCTCCCGGCATGGCAGCAGCAGCAGGGTCTGATGCTTTCCTGTTTTTGTGGAAGAGGCTGCGTGTTGATGAAAGTACTCTTTGTACCATTTGGAAAGGGAGCAGCTCATCAGGGGTAACCGGAGCTGGGCCTTGTCCACGCCCCCCAGAGGCCTCTCCTTCCAGCCACACCCTCGGTCCCTGGCACCAGCGTAGTTCAGCTCAGCCAGGATTCACGGAATGCCCACCGTGTGCCAGGCCCTGGGCTTGATGCAGCTGCGGTGGAGATGGCGGCAGGGACCCACCTGCATTTGGATCCTGGCCCTCTCAATTCCTGGCTGTGCCTGAACATGTTTCCTGACTTCCCTAAGTCCATTTCCTCATGGTAAAATGGGGCTATGAAATGCTGTGAGCATTAAAGAGACCATTGCTAAGTATCTAGCACTCTTCCTGCTCACGTTAAATGCATAAAGAGGCTAACTGTATTAGCTCTCGATTACCATGTAACAAATTACCCCAAGACTTAGGGACTTAAACCCCAAACATTTATTATCTCATAGTATCTGTGGGTGCGCGCGGCTTGAGGTCTCTCATGAGGGTGTGAACCATCAGCCAGGGCTGCGGTCGCATCTGAAGACTCACCTGTGGAAGGATCTGCTTCCAGGTTCACTCACTTGGTTGCCGGCAAGACTTATTTCCTCACAGGTCATTGGACTAAGGGTCTCAGTCCCTCAAGGGTTGTCAGCCGGATACCTCCCTCAGGTCCTTGCGATATGGACCTCTCCACAGGGCTGCTCACAGCATGGCAGTGAGGAAGAGAGGGTGTCCAGGATGGAAGCCACAGTCTTTTTGTCAACTCCCCTTGCAAATGACATACTGTCATGTCTGCCATATTCTATTCATTTGAACCAAGTTACTAGGCCCCGTCTACCCATGAAAGGAGAGGATAACATGGGGCCATCTTACAGGATTTCTTGTCACACCAACTTATAATTATCGCTGTTATTCATAAAAGTAAGACCATTCCTAACCTCTGGGACCTCACAGTCTTAAAGGTGAAACTGGCAGGTAAATTGATAATTGCTATAAAATATGTTTATGTGCCATTATAGAGGGATGTTCAGATTTCTAAGGCTGGATGAGACCGTGTGATCAATGGGATTTGCTTCAAAATAATCGCGAGGAGGGTGGTACAGGGGAAGTAGGTAAGAGTAAAGCCGAAGCAAGAGTGGTCACATGGGGACTTCCCTGGTGGTCCAGCGGTTAAGACTCCGTGCTTCCAGTGCAGGGGGTGCAGGTTCGATCCCTGGTCAGGGAACTAAGATCCCGCATGCGATGTGGAATGGCCAAAAAGTAAAAAAAAAAAAAAGAAGAAGAAGAAGAGTGCTTGCATGTTATTTGCTGAAAATGGATGATGGGTACTTGTTTTTGTTTTCCATTAAAAAAAATTTTTTTTTTCTTTTAAGTACCTTGAGAAGGTAGACATAGTTGAATTGCTGCGATAGCCCAGGGCCATAACAAGAACCTGAAGTTGGTTCTAGTACTGGGTGTGGAGAAGGCAGGGCGAATAGCAGTTACAATGAGTAACCTTTAGCTGTGGACTTGTCTGTATCAGAATGGAGGACTTGGAGAAATATTTTAAAGGGTCTCTGAGCAGACAGCGCAGACGCCACAATCTCTCTACACTACAGCCCGGATACTTTGCTTCTTGGGGAAAAAAAAATTGCTCAGAGTCTGTTACTCTGGTTTTACCCACAGTTTTAATCATCACAGAAGACTGGAAGCAACCAATGAGATAATGGGGCTGTGAACAGTAGACACATTGGTCTAAGTGTGAAGAGACAACAGGTAGCTTGACACAGGGGAGAAGACATCATTGTACGGCTCTGTAATTTTACTAAAACTCACTGAATTGACTTAAAATGAGTGAAATTTATGGTACATGAATTACACTTCAGTAAATCTGTTTTTTAAACAAAAGTAGATCCAAAAAAATTATACAAAGAAACTTGGAGAACTTGGAAGGCACAGGAGTGCGTAGAATCACTTAGTGCAGGGCAGACACCACAGCATCCCTGTGAACAGACGTAACCAGGACTGGTTTGTTGGTTAATGAAAAAAAAAAGACAGTTAAAGGAAAGAATCACAAAATTTATATATATATATATATATATATTCTTTAAACAATTTATTTTCATTTAAATGTAAAACATATACATTCAGTCCACACGTTTTGATGTAGGACCAAGACCTCTTCTTTGAGAACATCCCAGTTGGGATCTGCTATGTCTTTGTCAAATAAATCACACTTTAACTCCAGTTTCCAGTTTCAGTTTCTTTTAAGTGGAACTTAAAATCAATCTGAGAACAAAGCCCTTGTTTTTTCAAAGTTTTCCCCAGTTTTTTTTTTTTAATATTTATTTATTTATTTGGCTGCTCTGGGTCTTAGTTATGGCATGTGGGATCTTCGCTGCGGCATGCGAACTCTTAGTTGTGGCGTGTGGGATCTAGTTCCCTGACCAGGGATTGAACCCATGCCCCCTGCATTGGGAGCATGGAGTCTTAGCCCCTGGACCACCAGGGAAGTCCCCCGGGTTTTTTTTTAAGACAGGTTTATTGAGGTGTAATTGACCTACGGTAAAACTCATCCTTTGTAGTGTACAGTTCCATGAGTTTTGACATATGCCTACAGCTGGGTGACCACTACCATACAATCAAGATATAGAATATTCCCCAATCTTTTATGTGTATATCATCCACACCTAATTCAGTAACAACTTTCTTAGCACACCCTTCTTCAAGATTCTCGAATGCATTCAACTTAGTTTTTATGGAAACAGCAACTCTCTTTTTGTATCCCTATTTCATCAGTTTATGTCATATTTAATTAAACTGTGCAATCATTATACAAAAACAGATGCAACTCACAGTAGGCAGTTTGAGGACCAACACGACTGCTTATTGGTAACTTTCAGCTCAAGTGTGTGGGGTCCTCCAGGAGCCTGTGGAGGCTGCGTTTTGCGGGCATCAGTCAGTCTGTTTTATGGAAGAAATGGAGAGGCTGGTTAATCCAGGGAGCCATCTAAGTGAAGGTCTGTCAGATTCCCATGCTTTGCTCATGGCCACTCCAGCGATGGCTGGTGCAGACTTTGGTGCGCCGTGCTAGTCCCCTGTCAGCAGGAAAAAAAAGCTGGATTCCATTCTGTATCCTGAGCTTCGTTAAGAAAAGGATGCAGAACATTTTAGAAAGCTCTCTATTCCAAGTGGGAGGTAAATGAAGTATTCGGTTTGAAGCCCTAAACGGGTGAGCTTGGGATATTGGAAAACTGGCCTGTGTGGACTCATCCCTTCTTCAGTGACCCTGGATCAGTGCCCGAGGCGGGTCTGCATATGCCAGAGCTTTTCTTCTCTGCCTCACGGTGCGGGCTGGGGGTGGACGTGGGTGGGAGCCATGAGTTGAATCTGGAGAAGGGAGAACGGCAGTGACCTGAGTCACCTGGGACACCGGCACGGGGGAGGGGTGGGAGGCCTGGGCCAGGAGGACAGCGGCTGCAAGGGGCGTGGGGGTGGAGTTGGGGGTCTGGATGCCCCCTGGAAATGTCACCTTCTCACCTGCTCTCTTCGGCTCACCGGCCCCCTCTCTCGCCCACCCGCCCCCTCTCTCGCCCACCCCAGCTCCTCCGGATGTTCTTCCGGCAGCAGGATGAGATTCGGAGGTTGAAGGAGGAGCTGGCCCAGAAGGACATCCGCATTCGGCAGCTACAGCTGGAACTGAAAAACTTGCGCAACAGCCCCAAGAACTGTTAGCTCCGCGGCTGAGCTGCTTTCTAAGCCGATCTCTCCGTTGTTTCTACTCGTCCCTTAACTTCCCATTCTCCGGTGACCCCAGAGACAGAGCCAGGACTGGAGCTGGGGGAGTGCCTGAGGACCCCACCTGCCACCTCAAGAACTGGAAGCTGACCTTTGACCTGTCGACCTCATGCTAACAAAAGCCCCCAGCCTCTCCCGGAGACCCAGGCTGGCAGCCCCTTCCCCTGCCACCCCAGAAGCCTCGGCTTCCCCTTGGCTGGCAAAGACCTTGGACTCCCCGAGGGGTGCCCTCAATGGACCAGGGAGCGGAGGGGGAAGCCAGGACCCCAGGAGACTTAGAGGTTGAACTTTTCCCCTGCAAAGGGGGCTGCCAGGACATCTCCGTGCTCCCTGCTGGGGCTCACAGTGGCCCTGATGGACGCACAGTAAGGGCTGGATTGCCGGCATCAGCTGTTCTCCCTCCCATCCCCCACCTCTCTCTCCCCCCCGCAGCCCTGGAAGCCCACTCACCTGACAAGGGTTGCGAGCAGCCCAACTCCTTCCTGTCTCTTGCCCCCTCTCTCTTATCTTCAGGGAATTAAGAGGATCGCTTGCCAAGGCCATAATGCCCCCTTGCTTTCCCCTGAGGCTCTTCAAAGCTCTGGCAACACCCTTCTCCCATTGACTTTGTGAAGCGGGCAGGGTAGGGAATCGTGTCTCCATTTTACAAGTGACAGAACTGAGGGTTGCAATGGGGTAGTGGCTTCACTAAGTCACCCAGCAGATGAACGGTGGACCCAGGACCAGGACCAGTGGTGTGCAGACCTCAGGCCCGGACCCTTCCCACTGCATCAAGATGCCAATCCCACGGGGGCATCACCAGGGCCCAAGTCTCCGTGGAGGAGAAGACTGGGAGCCTCCCAACACCAGTAGTGCCAATGTGTCTCACTGCCCAGTCGAGGCCCCTCACACTCAGTGTCCCTACGTCCTCCCGGCCCCCACCTTCTGCTCCCACCCCCCAGGGGACTCCCTCTGAGATGAGGCCTCTTCCTCCTGGAGGCTGAGGCTGCGAAGGGTGGAGCTGGCCCTGGGGAGGCAGAGCAGGGGCCGGATGGCTCCAGGGGCTGCTCTGTGTGCATGTCTCAGCCCTGCTCTCTCAGTCACGGTCAGCCTTAACAGTTGTAGGATGACCACAGCCCCTCACGTGGGTGTAGCACTTTAAAGTTTACACAGCCCTTCGACACTTAGGATCCCATTTGAGCCTCATCTCAGCTCCCAGAGGAAGGGAGCATTCTCCCCAGTTTGCAGATAAAGAAACAAAAGCAGCCCAGGGTCACAGGACCCCAGGAGATGCCACATTTCACTTGGTCTTCTACAATTTTCTTTTTTTCCTCTTTTTCTCCCTTCATTTGTCACTACCTATGGAGTCCATGAACACTGCTCTTAGAAAAGTCACAGTTTAGGGGTGAGGTCTGGCCTGGGCACCAAGAAGTGGGTGTCCACTCTTCTCTCTCATTAGCTAGAACCTACTAGATGCATTGTGCTCCACACTGCTTGTACCACGGCCGCCCTGCAGAGCATCCATCCACACAGGCGGGGCTCCCTAAGCCCCCCCAGTGACCTGGGCAGGGAAAGCCCCCCTGACCCCTCGGGCTTTTCCCCCAAGAGCCTTCCACCCTCTCGGCCAGCTAAAGCAGGGTCTCCTCACCCCCCAGACCCCACAGCTAGACTGTGTAAGCTTACATCTCCTCTTCCCCACACTTGTGAAGCTTTTTTTTCTTCCCCACTGACCTTTGTGGTCTTCTGTGATTATTTATGCTGCCTCCTGAGGATAGAATTGAAATAAAATGTTTTCAGCTTATTGGACCCGGGCACAGCCAGCTCATTTAACCTGGGAGGTTCCTGCTCTTGGTCACCATGGTATCTTGATGGTCAGCTCCCCGGCCACAGCTCCTTTGCTTTAGTGGAACAACAAATCACATCTGTGTCTACAGATACAATTTCACACTTTCATCCATCTACAGCAAGGCTTCTGAACGTCAGCCCTGTGGACATATGGCGCCAGATAATTCTTTGCTGTGAGGGCTGCCCTGCGCCCTGTAAGCCATTTAGCAGCATCCCTGGCCTCCACCAGTCAGATGCCACAGCACCCCGAACCCAGTTGTGATAAACAAAAATGTCTCCAGGTATCACCCAGTGGCCCCTGGGGTGTCAGAATCGCCCCCAGTTGAGAAGCACTGTTCCACAGTTATTCAGTAGGCATCTGCTGTAGGTCCAGCCCTGTGTTGGGGTCTGAAGGACACCAGTGTTTCACACTGGAATGGTGCTTTGCAGTTTACAAAGCACTATTCCACGTATTTGACTCCTTTGATCTTCACAGCTCTAGGTGCTATGTTCTAACTATTCCCGTTTTCCAGGAGAGCCGTCAGGTCCAGAGTGTGACATGCTGAAGGTCATTTAGTGGGTGTAACGGAGAAGACACACAGGGACGAGGATCTTCTGAGCCCAGAGCCAGAGGAGGCACGTGTTCCCGGTCCTCAGCCAGGCTCAGCGCTGGGCAGGGTGTCTTCTGGGCGGAGGGCTGGGGCCCATCGTGAGACCAGGGGCTGCCAGGCTGCTGGGACACCCTCGCTCTCTGACCCAGCCAGAGTTGTCATGGAGCAGAGTTGTCAGGCTGCAAAGTGGACAGGCATGTGGCAGTGTGGACAGCCCAGGAAACTCAGAAGAGCCACAGGAAAGCAATGAAAGCCTTAGAAAAAAGGGCAGGAGAGGAAATGATAAAAGGCAGTGGAAGAGCAGTGGGCAGGACACCGGGACAGGGAGGGCGTGGTCCAGGCCCAGCTCTGCCTCTGACGGGCTGTGTGACGGGAAGAAGTTCACTTCTCCTCTCTGGGCTTCACTTTCTCCATCTATAAAATGAGGGTATAGGGACTACCCTGGCAGTCCAATGGTTAAGACTCCATGCTTCCAACGCAGAGGGCACGGGTTCGATCCCTGGTCGGGGAACTAAGATCCCACGTGCCACGCAATGCAGCAAAAAAAAAAAAAAAGTGGGGGGGATAGGAAAATTGGAGGGTCCATTCCTGGTCTAACACTTGAGTTTCCACTACACTAGCATTTGGAAGAATGGGACAGATCCCCAAGACCACCCATTGTCTAGCATGAGTGATACAAACAAGAAGTATATCAGGCGAAGGGAAGCAGCAGGGTGGCTTCCTACAGGGCTTGGGTGCAGAAAAGTACTTTTGCTAAACATGAATTTGAAAAAGACACTCCTGGAGTTTCTGCTGTAGATCAATTCACAGTCCTGGGCTTGAAAGAAATGCTAAGGTCATTGAGAGTTTGACCTTCGTGAGCTCCTTCTCTGGGGATGCCAAGGAAGGTGGGTGGAGCTGGGTCCTTGACTGAGGCTTCCTCCCACCTGGGCCCAGGGGAGCAGGTGAATGCACAAGGTGACCTGTCTCATGTGTGCCTCTGTCCCACGGGACCCCCAATTCTGAGCCCAACTGGGCAGCTCTTTAATCATCACTTATTATGGCAGATTGTCCAAGGTCAGAGTCGAACGTGGTTTCTCTCCAGGCAGCCCACTTCCCAGCTGCATTTGTTGATGAACCCATCAATTGCTTGTTGGTTGTCCACATGTCCTTTAGTTCTTCACATACCAGGATGTACTCCATGCCTCGCCTGTTACACTGATCCTGCTGACAGTTACGGCCTTGCCCACCACGTTGCTTTGATTATTATAACCATATAGGAGAACAAGGCCCTCTAGCTCTTTGTACCCCTTCCCACTGCCATGTTCCCCACCAGGTGCTTGCTCCCTTCTTTTCTCCAAGTGAGAACATCTCAGGCTAAACTCCAGACCCTTCTCTTGTATGGAGAAGTCCCTCTGGGGCATGCCTAGAATTCTTGTCTCACAACCCTCCACATACCAACACCTACCTGGGTTTTCAACTCAGCCTAACACACCCTGAGTGGCTGGATCTACTCAGTACTGGGCGCTGGAAACCCAGAGATTGAAAGAACCAGGACTGGGGCTTCCCTGGTGGTGCAGTGGTTGAGAGTCCGCCTGCCGATGCAGGGGACACGGGTTAGTGCCCTGGTCCGGGAAGATCCCACATGCCGCGGAGCGGCTGGGCCCGTGAGCCGTGGCCGCCGAGCCTGCGCGTCCGGAGCCTGTGCTCCGCAACGGGAGAGGCCACAACAGTGAGAGGCCCGCGTACCGCAAAAAAAAAAAAAAAAGAACCAGGCCTGCCCTTGAGGGGCTCCAACCAGTGGTCCATCTATGGATATCGTGTCACCCAGCAGGACGCGTAGCCCCTGGAGGCTGGGGTGAGTTCCACCCTCTGCCAGGTTCCGTGTGGAACAGGCAGCTGTTAGGGATTTGCTGACTCCCAGATTCCCTTCAGCCAGCCTCCCAAGAGCCCAAGATGGGCTTGGGCATTTTTAAACCCTCTCCTGGTGCTGGGCAGACATCCCAGACTGCCAGTGGACCGTGCAGAACGTGGCTGCTTCTTCACTGTGGAAAATGCCTTCATATTGCAGACACCTCCGCCACAAGGGCCCTGTCCCTTAGCCTTCCTGCTTGGAAGGGCTGCGCTGACAGGGCTGTCTGGGGCAGAAGCAGACACTCGCCTTCACCACCGGAAGCGTTACCGGATCCCTGTCCTCCACCCCTGCCCCTCCAGTCCACCAGCCCAGGGAGGGGGGATGCAGGCCCTTGGAGCAGGGAGGGGAAGAGGGCGATGTTGACAGAAGCCCCTCATTCTCTGTGCGTGTGTGTTTCTATTTGGGAACAACCTGCACACTATCTTCCCTTAGAATTTTAATTCAGTAACAGACACGAGTGGATCAGCCTTACTGTGAGAGAAGGTGAGCATCTACAGGGTCGGGTCTGCAGAGTTCTACGAAGCTCCTGTCCCAGAGCCCCTCCCTTATAGCTGGCAGTCCCATTGCCTGGAATCCCCCCATGAGCACAGTCCTTTTGGGTTAAGCATTGCCCTTATTGCCAGAGCCCTACCTATACATATCCCCCTGGGATTGGGATGCTGACGTGAACAGGGTTGAAGGACCGAGGAAAGGAAACAAGGGGGCAATGAAAAAGGGTGGGCTCAGGTGGGAGGAGGGAGATGGCGACACTGAAGACAAAGGTCTTGGATTTCAAGGTCACAGTGATTAAGGCAAGATTCAAAGACCAGGAAGTTTGCTTGGAGCTTGAATCCAGCCAGCAGGTGGCAGGTTATGGCCTTCTTATCAAGCCCATTTTTTTGGAGCTGGGTCCCTTCTGTCACCTCCCACTTCACCCCAGAATGAATAACCCAACCATAGGCACGAGGGCCTCGTGGCAGAGCAGGCACACAGAAGAGCCAGCATCCGAAACGCCCCAAGTATCAAAGAAGGGAGACTCAGAAGGGGGCAGCAGGACCCTCGCTGCCCCAGGTCAGCTCTCTCCAAGGAACGGCCAGAGGAGGGCGCTCACCTCACCTTCCTCTGAGGCTGCCTGTTCTGTTCTGAATAGCTGGAAAGAGGCTGGATCGGGGTTCCTGTCCCAGCCTAGCCCCTGACCTGCTCTGTGACCTTGAGCGGCTCCCCCCTCCCTGCCCTGCCCAAGGGACAATGGCGGGGAGGGGCCTGGTGAGTCTGCAATTCGAAGAGGCTGGGAGCTGAGGAGGTGGCAGAAGGAAGAGCCGGGGAACATGAAGGGAGGGAAGAAAAGGCAGGGAAGGAGGAGAAGGGGTCTGAGCCAGACCTCTGCAGCCCGGTGGTCACAGCCTAGCCCGGGCCTGGTGCTCACCAGCTCTAGCCCCTCGCACTCTCCAGGAAGTCGCCGATGAGAGAAATGGGAGCTGCGTCCCAGGCAGGGATGCAGCCCGGGGCAGAGGAAGAAGGGTCTCGGCCAGGCAACATAAGCCCTGAATCCTTGCCCCGGGAGGCTGGATTCCACTCAGCTGAAGCAGGAATGAACCCCTCCCTCTGGCTGATACAAAGGGAAGGGATCAGGGACTGCTCTGAAACAGGGAGCCAGGCGAGGGTGGTGGTTTAGTGGTGGGTGGGGGGAGGAGATGGGGAAGGGGTGCCTAGGGCTTCAGGATGTTCATCTTACGGGAGGGGGAAGGGGGAGGGGAGGAGGGGGAGGGGAGGAGAGGGAGAGGAAAGGGGTCGTGCGAGGAGACCTCCCAGGAACGGATCCAGAGCTGGGATGGGAGATGAGTCATCCCCTGCCAACAGACCTAGGCACCTTGCTTTATACCTCTCTTAAACCGGCACCATCCCCAGCGGGGGACCTAGGACAGAGCTGGCTGCACCCTGCTTAACAAGTGACCTTCAGACTAGCTCACAGAGGAATGGCCGTTCTTAACTCCGTTGGGTTCTTTTTGTCACTAAAAGAACTGTTCACCTCTTGGGGCTGCTTGGCACTGTCCTGTGAAAGTCCCCCACCCACCCTAGGGTCTCCTACCCCCTACCCTAACCTGTCCCCCACCTGCCTCAGGATGCCTGACATTCACACATTTGTCCATCCTTTGGTGAAGTCATTTGTAATGATAATGAAAGTAGCCTATTTGTCTCTCTTTGCCTACTGGGAGGCAAATAGACAGTTTTCATTCAAAAAACTATTTTATGAAATATTTATCAAGCGCCTTTTCTACATCAAGTATTATCCTAGGTGCTGAGACAAAAGAGATGAACAAGATATAGCTCTTGTTCTCAAAGAGATTCCACTCTAATTTATAATTAAAATTCACATGGAATGCAGAGAGGAATGTCTGGGAGGACCTAGAAGGCTAACAGTGATTTTCTCAGGGTGATGGGATAACAGGTTAACTCTATCCTTTTTGAATATCTGCATTTTTCTACAATAAACAAAT